ACCCTGAGCCAGCGGCTGACAGGCATCCAAATTTTGATAGGGTGACAGCTTCATTTTCATGTTATTTAGTTATGGTATGGGTCCCGACAAAGTGGGAGACCTTTAGCCATTCAGTCATTACCGATTATCTGATTCAAATGGTGGACGGTAAAACGAAAGAGAACAGATGATTCACGATTTCTTCCTTGGCTGAAAACTTTCCTGCTGTTCCAAGTAGTGTTCTTTAAAGAATTCTCTATTCGGATTGTCTAATCAGGAGACGAGCTTTCTCGAAAATGATTTACATAAGCTGGTCCCAGGATGTGATAAATGACTCAATATTGCTGCGAATAGTGTAGGAAAGTAGAGCCAATTAAGGCCTTGCAAGCGAATAAATTAATGTTGGAATTTTTTCCAACAATAATAACTTACAAACACGTAGTTTCAGCTGGCAAAATACCGCGATGGCTAAAGAAAAATCCTTCAGACTCCCAAGCAAGAGGTTAGTATTATAATAATAAAACTCTCGAGTTCATCTTACACGACTTCTTTCATGAAAATACTAATGGTAGGTTACTTCGCAATAATTCGTGTTAAAATACAGAGAAGGGCCTTATGTTGTCGTATTATTTTCGATATTTGAGTATACATTTCGTATGTACCTCATGCAGCACAGTGCCGGGCTATCTACAGCGGCTGTGAGAAAGGCTACAACTTCTCACGGTATGAATATGTTCTGAGAAACACAATCTGATGGAATATCTTTTGTCATGTGAATACCTTGTGACATGCAGTGTAATAAACACATTATATACGGTGATAAATATGCCATAAATATAGCTGGTGATCAGGTTCACGCTCAGTGTGCTTGAGACTGTCTCAAAAGAACGCGCGATCTCCAATTCTGTAGAAAAAAATTTCCTCGCAAGCCGGGCAGTCCGGTAGAACTCAACGCAGGTTACGCGATTTGCAAACCCATAATGATGAGTCTCAAGAAAGTCTTCTGTCTGCTTCTGTTCGTCGCAGGTGAGTATCATCGTCGTCTGTCTGTTGTTACTTGTCGCCGGTGAGTATCATCTTCAAAGGTAATGAGTATCAAATAATGCTAGCCTTCATATAGTAATATTATAACGGACCCTGGGACGACTCCCCTGTAATATAAATATACATTTGAATTTTTTATTCAAATGTAGTGGTTGATGTGGCGTTAACTATGTTGCTAGAATTTTTTTTTATGACGGAGATTTGACAACTTTGGTGTCATATTTCGGTTTGTTATTGCAATTGAATGAATACCGGTTCTTACTTTATTTGCAGTGAAAAGATTAGTCGTTTCTTGGCCTCCACTTATAATAAATATTCATAGCAAATCATAAAATACAGAATAAAATGGCATGAACAAGCAAGACATTTTGACGAATAAAAAGTTTGGTAAATAGGCTAACAGTTCTTAATTTATCATTAACAGACAAGATGGAAAACTCGTGCTGCAATAGTATTTCGAAAATATAGCTTCTTTTGACATTTGCCTTTGCTCGTGAGAATTTCTATGTACAGGGATACGTCAAATTTAAATTGTTCAACTTACTGAAATTATTATTCAGGTACAATTTTCTAGAGCTTTTAGTGAATCATGACCAAGTTTTGCACGTACATGTCTAAGCAATTTTGAAGTCTATTTAGTGATTTATTTTCTATGCTAAAGAATTTACAGTATTCCGTATGCTTGAGAAATTTTTGGGAAATTTTTGCATCTTCCATCAAATATCAAACTGTCTCATTCAATATATTCTAAAATAATTCGTGAAATTACCTAAAAATTGTGAATTTTTGCGATATTAAATATTTCGTCCAATATGATAGGCGCATCGGCAATCGAGTGCCCCGCTGGCTACGAGGTCGTTGGGTCCAAGTGCATCCACCGCCTGCATGACAGTTACCTTACACACAATGACGCGGTGGCTTACTGCTACCAGAACTTCGGCAGGCTGCCCGTTTTGCCAGATTGCGCTTCCTTCATTGGTGTTGCCACTTATGTCGACAATGGATGTGAGTTGTATAGCTTGATGAATAGTTCAGCACGATAACCAAGTTGAAAATGAAATTCCTATATTTAATTAGATGCATTGATATTCCATTGAGCCAAATTATTTAACTGGTATAGAAGAAACTGGAATCAAAATCTAATTCATCACTTGAACTTCAATTGGGCATTTTGTAGATGCATGCTTGGCTTTTAGATACATGCTTGAAATCTGCCCATTGAGGCAGATTTCAATTGTTTCATAAAGAGGTATATTAGTAAACAATTTTCCACGTCAGAATTGGCCATAGTTAAGTCCTGAACGTCGATAAAATCCTTCAAGTGATCATCAAACGAATAAGAATTGTCTACATTATAATGGTTATTTCAAGACTAGAACTAAAAACTTAGCCAGTTTAAAACTAGGAGAATTGTATGCGGCAACAATTGGTCGAAATCGAAACTTCGCGGCAAAATCAGACTTATGGAATTTTAGGCAAACCATATAAAATCCCAGGGCATGAACTGGCGGCTTAATGTTTAGAGTAAGTTTCAGACGAGTGGGCAGGTGAATACTTGAGTTTTCGCAGAAAGCTATTGATTTTGTCTTGGATTTTCAATATAGTTTTAAAGATTGGATCAGTAATTTCGACAAATTCAGAAGGATTGACGATGAGTGCAGTGAGGATACTGTTATATCGACTACGATCAACCAATACGCGGTTTGGCTGTGTCTCAAGACGGACGTGTGTGTTGCGCGGGCTAAAAAATGGCCTATGCCGGTTTGCCTCTTTTTATGCATTTTGTGCTGAAGCCTTTCAGGGAAAAGACTTTAGTGAAGTTAGTGGAAGAGAATGCGAATAAAGAGTGGAAGTGAATAAAAGTGTTTCCCTGTTTTTCTTGTGAAGAAACGAGGGTAAGCTTGTGAGGGCACAGTGCTTTACGCTTGGCTTTCGGTTGGGCCTAAATTTCTTGAGCATGCTTCGTCACCTTTGTTCTGCCCCACCGCCTACCTTCACCCTATCCCTCTTCCTCTCTTCCCGCCTATCGCGTCGTTCCCTTGACTCCCCCAGCCCACCCCTGTCTTTCTCTCGCCAACGATAGCTGTTACCTCAGCTGAGGCTCAGCTGTTCCGCCAGTCGAAATTTTCGAGGGAACTTTACAATACTCAACTCAACTCAGTTTTAAAGTTTTCTCCATCCTTTTCTCCGTTCAAAAGGTCTAGTTCGTGCATTTTACAGTGGCTGGACAGAATTCAAAAAAGATAGTCGAGCAGCCCTCTACGGCATCTAAAAAATTAAACCAAATTGGCCCAGCTAGAGATGAAAGTTTGAAAGTACTGCAAAGTGACCTCTCTGAGCGAAGTTCAGACGGTCACCTGCTTGTGAACTATGCGAAGATCTCATTTGTATCAGCTGTTCGAAGTTGAGCTCTAAGGATTACTCATTTCTACATAGATCCAAATTACTTCATTGGTTTTGCCGTGATGGCGAAAAACCAACTCTTGGTGCTCGAAAAAGCGAGGAGTCAATGGAAGTGCATGGCAATGAGTCGAAATCGTTGAATGATGTAGTAAACTCCTCGAGTGAGATTGTGCGCTCGCTGAGTGACAAATTGAGCTCGCTATGCAATGAGCTGACTGAAGTGAAGGCTCAGCTGAAAAAATGCGGAAAAAATGTAAATAAATAACAAGAGAGCTGATTTATCTGAAGTTGCTAGCGAAAGCTCACGTGAATTATTTGATAGAGAACGTAGGAAGTCCGACCTGGTTTGATTTGGGATTCCCGAGAGTACCGTATCTGATGCGAAAGACCGAGTGATGGATGACACGGCATATGTTGTAGATCGTTGCAGCAAGGTACTCAACACACCAATTGATGTTACATCGCGCAAGAGGCTACGCTCGAAGGATGCTGCTGCCAACACCTGCAGATCTCTTTTGGTTACTGAATCCTGCTCAGGTCTGGAGCGTGCTGAAAACAGAGAGAAAGCTTGGACAATCCGCTGATTACAAGTCAGTTTTTGTAAAGAAAGATTCCACCCCTTTAGAGAGGGTGGTTTTTTGCAAGAAATGGCAGGAGAGAATCAGGCGGAAAGGCACGGAAAATCAGGTAAATCATTTCCAAGCTGTCAACACAAGACCGGCCGCACACGGTCAGTCAGAGGAGTTGGAGGGCAAAGTAGGAATGATGTCCGTAAATCAAGGCCTGCAAATAATTTAGGAAGTAACCGCACACATCAAAGTGAAAATGCACAAAAAGTTTCAAATTGTTTTTACACGAACTCCGATTCCGTTTTGAACAAAAAAGTGAACTGTTAACTGTGATCGCAAGCGAGAGTATAGACATTATTTGTATTAAAGCAACACTCCTTAAAAATCACGGGGGGGGGGAAATTGTACTTGTTGAATTTCAGTTGCCAGGTTTTGATTGTTTTCATAACTTAAATGAAGAGCAGTGCAGTAAAGGTGTAGCTCTGTGGGTTTAGAACCCCCTAATGGGGCCCGTTAAATTATCTGCATAGCATCAATCAGCTAGAGAATCATTGTGGTGCGAAATTACTCTAAAAGGCAAGGATAGCCTCCTCGTAGGGGTCCTTTATAGATCACATAACAGCTCCTCTGATAACGATAAACACACTACACAGCCTTTTACCGATGACTTTCAGGCATGACTTTCAGCAGGTCGTATACGTTTATCGTTGATAACATTAATCTTCCAGAAATAGACTGGGCAGATGAATCTTCTCCAAGAGATGGGAATCACCCAGCATCCCTGTTCTGAAAGTCAGTGCAAGACTCATTTTTAATCCAGAACATCACCAAACCAACCCATTTTTGGGGTAAATAGACCACGAATATTCTAGATCTAGTGTTTACAAGTGAAGAATCAGTGATAGATGAGCTTCGCCACGAGGCTCCGTTGGGCAAAAGCCACCACCAATCATTGTTTTTCAATATAAAGTGTTGTGCAGAAAAGGCGCTTCGGAAGCGTGAACGATTGAACATTGCGAAATGCGACTATGATAAACTCCGTGAAGGAAGCGGTGAATGCGGCGAATATTTCGGACTGTATTAAGGACATGAATGTTGCTGATTCATCGTCATTTCTCAAAGACACGGTTATGTCACCAGTTAATACCTGTGTACCTATAGATTAAGCTTGGAGGAGTCAAAAAGTCCCAGTGGATGAACAGTACAGATAAAGCTCAGTTAAAGACCAAGAAAGAAGCCTACAAGCGTTATTTACGAACTCGCAGCAATTCTGATTATAACCTGTATGCAAGAGCGCGATATCAAGCTAAAAAAATCTGTCGCACAGCAGTGAAAAACTTCGAAAAAAAATATTGCTATAAATGCAATGAAGAATCCGAAAGCCTTCTTTTTGTACGCTAGTTAGAAGTGCGAGACAATCGACGGTACACTGAGAGAAAATTTACCGCTGTTTTGAGACACTTGGGTGCCAAATCCTCTCCGAGCGATCGTGACGAAAGCAAGACGCCTACGGCCGCCTACGTGTCTCATAGACGTCCAAGTGTCTCAAAATTTGAGATTTTGAGACACCTGGGTGTCTAAAGTGGTTGAAGTGATCTCACCTCTCAAAAAGTGGTCTCACCTCTCTGGTTGAAGAAACTACGAGTCGCCCGCCGAGATTCGAACCTCTGCCAAGACTGTAGTCGAGTACGCGCGACCATGCCTTAGCCCACTGAGCCACGGAGACGGCAGTCACATAGAGTCGCAGTGTTTCCTTAGTGTTGCGTGCGGTACTACCAGAATAAATCTTCGATTTTAGTACCAACTTCTTGCGTGATTGAAGACGTCGCTCGTTTACATTACTATTGACAAAAAAGCAGTGCGTTGAGACACGAAACAACTGCTATGATTAAGTTTTTGACCTCGTGCACGAATATAGGTAGAATCGGTCGTCAAAGTTTTAGCATTGACGTTATCGCATTTCTAGAATCTTACAAATATTTCTCTATTGGAGGTTAGGAAACTTAGTTCTTCATTATTTTATGAAAAAAATACTTCTTACCTAATGAAATTCATTGACAAATTCAACAGCGTAAGGGTCTACCGAGCAGCTGGGCGGATTAATCGTACGCATACAGCAGCGATCCGTGGCATTCACAAGCGGCGGCGCCGCACAACCTCCCTCTATGAGAGCATCTGGGGCACTGGCTAAAGCGCGCACATCAATCACGCAGCCTTGCATGCGCGTTTATACTTCTATTGGGTGTCTCACATTTTTGAGACGCCCAAGGGCTCGAAATTTTCTTTCTGTGTATATCTGATTTGAAAGTGGACCAACGAAAGTTTTCCTCTGATGAGGGCAAGGCTAAAATTCTTAATCAGTTCTTCAGTAGTGTGTTCAAAGATGAGGACTTGAACAGTATTCCAGATATTGAGGAGCGCCAAGTCGGCTCGAAGTAAACAATTTTTTAAATACACGAAGAGGTTATCAAGCGCCTGGTAGCTCCCAACAAGTAATGTGGACCAGACCGCTTCCATCCCAGATTACTCAAATAATTAGCAACCGTTCTCGCCGCCCCATCGACAGTATTCTTTCAAAAACCTTGTAAGAAGGAACATTGTCGTCCGATTGGAAAGAAACTCAAGTAACACCGTTGCTCAAAAAACGTGACAAAAGTAGCCCCGGTAACAATCGACCTGTCAGTCAGACAAGTGTTGTTTGTAAGGTAATGGAATGTGTTGTGAGGGATAGGATTATCGCTCACTTGACTGTTCACCATCTCCTATCAGATTGTCAACATGGTTTTATTACCGGTAGATCCTGCACCACTAACATATTGTCAACGTTAAGCGATTGGACTCGCCTGCTGTACGAAAGGGAGCCAGTGGATGCATTGTACCTCGATTTTGCCGAAGTATTTGACAATGTTCCGCATGAACGGCTGTTGCGTAAAGTGAAGTCTTTAATTGTGAAATGAAGGAAACGTACTACAATGGATCAGAGATTTTCTAATAGGCAGACGAAAACGTGTCAGTATTAACGGAACCGTGTCAGACTGGGCATCAGTGCGCAGTGGCGTGCCACAAGAAAGCGTTATTGGGCCTATTCTGTTCGTTGCTTTTATAAACGAACTACCATATGTAGTGCCCTGCGTTTGCTCCATGTATGCCGACGACACAAATTCATAATACAGAGAAGGATGCGTTAAATACAGCGCAATTGCAAGATGATCTTGACAGTTTAGTAAACTGGGCTGATACGTGGAAGCTGCGGTTTAACGCTGACATGTGTAAAGTACTTCATTTCGGGAAGAACAATTGATCGAACAGCAAGATTACAGTATGAGAAGACATGGTTGCAACGAGAGAGTAATGATTGAAAAGCCTAGTGTGGAAAAAGATCTCGGAGTTTATGTCGACAAGGAGCTAAAATTTTCTAAGCATGTTGAAACGCAGGCTAATACATCCAACAAACTTCTTGGACTAATCAGACGCTCCTACGAGTTCCTAAAGGCAGAAGCGAAGAATTAAGCAGTTGTTTGTTGCTGTCGTGCGCCCGAATCTAGAGTTTGGAAAAGTTAAGTGGTCACCGAGATTTTAATAGGACAAAAATTTAATAGAGAATGTTCAAAGACGTGCAACAAGGATAATTTCAGGCTTGAAGGGCAAGTCCTATGAAGAAAGATTAAAGATTAGGAAGCTTCCAAGCCTCAGTTATCGACGTCTGCGTTGGGATCTCATTGAAGCTTAGCATACAACTATACTCATGGTTTATACAAGGTTCCCGAAGGAATACTGGAATTTGAAACAAGAACCAACACCAGGGGCCACGGCTATAAACTAAAAAACTGCGCTACAACTTATCCACGCGACAACATTTCTTCTCGCTTAGAATCACTGACATGTGAAACAGCCTCCCCGATTACGTCGTTGGCGCTCAGAGTATGAACGCGTTCAATAACAGGCTAGATAAAGCAATGGAAAAATATATGTTCAGGCTTGAAATGCCTAGCACCATATTGAACCTGGTGGAAGTCTAGTAGCTATTTCAAACTATCTTCAGTACTGAAAAGATCCGGTCAAATGACACAATTTAAGATCTTCTGTGAACAAGTCACGAAAAGTAAGAATCGGCGACAAGCCACATCAGGCCTACTCTTCAGCGCCGACATCACTATGTTATGTCGATATGTTAATACAACGCCCCTGCCCTTGTCAGGTTTACAAATGATCATGCAAGTCTTTATTTTTGGCTAGGTTTTTCAATAAAAGCGTGTCACTGGGTTGATATGCAGAAAAGAAGTATATGACTTGAAGCCGTAAAAATAACGATAGGCTAAGCTCTGCAAGTTCCCGAATGTGATTGGGGTTCCACAAATGTTATGAATAATAATAATTCACCACTACTTACTTTGAATACCTACCATATTACGCAATCCGCATTCGAGTTTGAATTATAAAGCATTTCCTGTTTACGGATGTGTTCCGTTAGTCTCTGCGGACGCCATCAACGGCTACTGGCTGGCCGCCACCAACTCTTCAGCAAATGGTGTCTGGCAGTGGAACGACGGCACCACCGTGCAGATAGAATAGAATAGAAGTGTCGGCGTTGAAGAAATAGGCCCATACAGATGGGCGCTCCGTACTGGGCGCTCGTGAGTGATTTGATGTGTGTTGTGAATATGATGAAATTTGGTTCGTGTGGTGCAAACTAATACAGGAAATAAGGATAAGACATCAAGAAACATCAAAGTTTGAACTGTTACAGATTAACATGATGAGAATGCTGTAAAATTGAGCAATTTTACCTGTTACTTCATCTTTTTTCATTTTCATGTTTTTGCTATATTCTTTTCGAAATCCAATAAATATATCACTCCTTTATGGAACTAATGTTTCTGAATAAGCGCCGGATTTGCTTTCATAAATACATTCAAAATAACTACGTTGACTTCAGTTAGCATCAAATTCACTACAAAGTTCTTCATAAATTTAGTTTTTAAGTATATGCAGGTTTTCATTGCAGTACTATTGTGGCGTTCCCCTAGAACTCGCCAGCTGATGGGTTGACAGAGCCCAACAATTACGGAACGGGAGAAGACTGCGCATTGATTAAATCCGGTTTGGGCTGGCTGTTGAATGACGTACCTTGCTTACTTCCAAACCAGGATCTTTACCCAGTGTGCTCAAGATCTTCAACGGGTGATGAGAGCCTTTTTCAGAAGTGTCTCCATGACAGGAAACAAATGAATAACCTGAAACAGCTTGCCGTTTTATTTTATGTATGAATTTCGACGCTAGTTTAAAAGAAAGAAGCTTGTTAAAAAAATTAATCAATTGTGTTTCAATATTTATTTTGGTTACTTATTGAAAGTTACACTTTCTTTTATACCGGAATTATCAACTCGACAAATCGGTCTTATTTTGGTGAAGTCTATTGCACTATTACAAAAATTGAAAACTTATCGTGAAAACTTTCTAGAACGCTTAAGAAATGTTAGTTTTATTTATGATCACGATTTTTATTTTGTTTGACATCCCTTCAACTTTTCGTTACCTGCAGGTTTGTGCGCTGTTCCATACGACCTGGTGGGCACGCAGTGCGTTCACCTACTGCCAACAAGTTACAACTTTACCGATGCACGCACCGCGTGTGGGTCAACAGGAGGAGATTTGATAATTCTAGATGACTGCGAACAGTACAGCAGGGTTATCAAATACCTCATGGAGCAAGGTAACCACCAACAAAATCAGATTTAAGGGAACCTTAACGTATCTTGAATTTGAATGGTGTCCCTGAAACCTACTTCCTTCTGACAGAGCAATGCGTCTTCATATGAGCTGCCATTGAGAGTAGCCCACCACTATTCGAACCTACATATGAGGCTGTGTTGCATTTCCGCCATTTACCTTCATATGACTCGAAAATATGAATCTTATATTACATCAGAACAAAAAGTTCATGTTCGCCACGCATATATCAAAATTTTACTAGCGTTGGAAATATAAATCAAACTAGAGGCTACCTCAAAGCCTCTCTGCATGAGGTAGTCATTATGAAATTATTTTCCGCGCCTTTGAATAGCTAATTAATATACCGACACTATAAGTATCCTGAATACGCATCCCAACAGCCCCTTATATTCACTATCCTTACACGATAAATATTCTGGATACGTGCACCTACAGCCCCTACATAAAATATACTGACACGATAAGTATCCTCCTGGATACGCGCCCTAACAGCCCATAACATATCCCGATGCGATAAGTATCTTGGATACGCGCCCCAACCGCGTATCCAACTTATATACAATATCCCGACACGATAAGTATCCTGGATACGCGCCCCTCAGCCCCAATATATATTACTACGCCAGACTTCAAACACACTAACTCTGATAATTAAAATTCGCATTTGTTATAGTGTATAAAATGCGAGTTATACTTTCTATGTAAGATGTTTTATTTCAATTTTAAAATGTGTTCCTCAAATCAACTTTGAAACATTAGTTTTAATATTACTGAGGGGATTCAAGATAACGAATCCCAAATTGCCGGGATTATCGATCTCAGGTAAGACCGAACTAACTTGCTAGTTGTTTTTTATGTGATGTTTTAATTTCGTTTTAGTTTATTTAGTTTTCACGTCTCTTCACATGACAAGGCTACAGCCCTTTTGGATATTGGATTGGTGGCTCGGATGAAGCCTTAGAGGGACAGTGGCGCTGGATTGACGGTTCTCCAATGGCAATGGGGCTGCCTTACTGGTCAAATGTGAGATACCGTAATCAAAGGAATTATGATAAGTTAAGAAGCTTCAACTGTGAACATATATTAGGGATATGTAAGAGTTTTTATTTAGAAAACTCTAATTACAGTGCAAGTAGAAGTTCGGAAAATAAACAACAGATTCGATACAGAAGCAAATTAATGTAATAGCGTCATTCATTGATGGGATAATGCGGGGTATCTTTACCTCACATTTGGGTTTGGGCATACCGCACATAAAACTTGTCGATTAGACTCGATCAGTTCTTGGAAAAGACGATAACTGAATATCAAATTAGCAGTCTTAATTTAATTAGTCTTTTATCGAAAAGTTGTATAGAATGTGGAGTTTATGTAGGACTTTTCAATCCTGCGCCAATTTCATGATTTCCAATTTGTAGAGAACTACCGGAATCACGTTTCCGGAAAAATTCTCATTTGCTACATATACTGGCTTCTGTTAAATCCATAATCTGTATCAACATCAATGTAAAATGTTAACGCACTCTGCAAACTGAGAGTAATTATATGATAGTTTGTTGCTGTATAAAATAAATTGTTAAGTATACAAATATAGATACAGGGCATGATAAAAAATTTTTCTTTATGAACTCCCAACAGTCTAAGCAAATGCAATCGAAATTTGATTCCAAAAAAATGCCTGTAACACGTAATAGGAGGCGTAAGATTTCAAGTTGAACTTGCTCAGCAGATCATAGTTCTTCGTGTGTCTAAGGCTGTTTGTATGGACGTCACCAAGTCTGTTAAGTCTATTAGAAATTAATTATCAGGAGCTAACGAGTATGCTCGTAACATATTCTTGGTTATATAAACGCTATAATGACGCATCAACAAATTTGTTAAAACTTTTCACACCTTGTTCCCTTCTCTCTCAGGAAGGTGAAGAAGACCCAGAACCCGACAACCCCGGCGTGGAGAACTGTCTGGAGCTGAGCTCTCAGTGGATGTACCGCTTCTCCAACACGCTGTGCTCCAATTCCAGACGCGTGATCTGCGAGGCGCAGCCTCTCTAGATCAGTGATGCGCAGCCCCTCTAGATCTGCGAGGCACGGCCCCTCTAGATCTGCGAGTCACCGCCCTCCTAGATCTGCGAGGCGCAGCCTCTCTAGATCTGCGAGGCGCAGCCCTCTAGATCTGCGAGGCGCAGCCCCTCTAGTTCTGCGAGGTGCAGCCCACCTAGATCTGCGAGGCGCAGCCCCTCTAGATCTGCGAGGCGCAGCCCCTCTAGATCTGCGAGGCGCAGCCTCTCTAGATCTGCGAGGCGCAGCCCCTCTAGATCTGCGAGTCACCGCCCTCCTAGATCTGCGAGGCGCAGCCTCTCTAGATCTGCGAGGCGCAGCCCCTCTAGATCTGCGAGGCGCAGCCCCTCTAGTTCTGCGATGCAGCCCCTCTGTCAGCGAGGCGCAGCTCCTCTAGATTTGCGAGGCGCAGCCCCTCTAGATCTGCTCGACGTAACCTCTAAACTTGCGAGGATTTTCGTCATGTAAAGCTCATAAATAGGCCTCAGCGTTTATGAATCGTTAGAAATAACGAGACTAAGGCAAAAAATTGTCTAAAAGAAAGTTATTAATCGGGACTAAGATTCTGTGACGGAATTTGAACATTTTTTCCAAGCAGTTATGAAACTTTTGAGACAGATAACGAGATATACCATTTGTAAGGGAAATTCACCTTATTCCGGCTGTTGGAAGAATTATGTTTGTGATCAATTAGTTTTGGCGACTTTAGTGTCTCTATTAGGCTATGCCTATAAGGTTGGCTACACGGCCACACGCGTGACGTGGCCGCCCCGATATTGGGGCCCGCTTTAGTGCTGGGTTCAGTTATTCGCCAGGACTCAGTCGGAGCTTACCTACCGTCACTGCTAACTAGTGTACTTGTAGCGTTTCTATTAGGTAAGTGAAAGTAAGATTTAGTTATTTCCTATAACTATGGAACATTGTCCCGTTTGAAATCTGTGTTTGATAATGTGTCATTAGTGTTAGTATTAGGGACGTTCTAGCTGGTTAGTCCTATTGACTATCATTATTCGGCAGGACCGATCTCTTGCCTGGCCAGCGGGAACGGCTCCTATTTAGGCCGACACTGGCGGTGTTGCGTCACCTAAGTATCCGCATATTCGAGCCCCTATTGCTGATGTGCACCTCAGCTGCTGCTGTGCACCTCGACTGCTGCTGTGCACCTCGTCTGCTGCAGTGCCTCCGTACTGTGTGCCCCTACTACTCTACCTACCGTCGGGCCCCGTATCCCGTGGTCCACTCCACCTTCCGTCATTTAGATTAGGATTGATTGTTTCAATATTTATTTTCGTGTTTAAAGTGTTCCGCTAGTTATTTTCGTGTTAGTGTTTTCGCTAGTTAGTTCCACTATGTGTTTTCGTTGTTAGTGTTCGTTTTAGTAAATTTAAGGGTATTTGGTTTTCATTTCCTTCGTTGAGGTTCGGTGGCAGCTTAGGGTTAATTCTTAGGGCCCAATTGGAGTCGGTCCTGCTCTCAATTCCTTTACACCATTAATATATTACGTTACGGAACAAAAAATCATAACGAATATGCAGATGAAGGATCCTCAAGGTAAACCCATTATAATTATTAATGGGCAGATGGCGGACATGGCGGCCATTTGGCTGCCAATACAGCTTGGTCGTTACGAGAGGATGTTATTAGGAATTTAAACTTGATTTGCTACACAAAATAGATTTTCCAAGTTAGAAACGAAAGTAAAGCGAGAATATTATATCTAGTAAATGTGTGATTGAAGGACTTTTTATTTAATAAGCATACATAAGCATTATTATTAACAAGATTACTTCATTATTATAGAGTACGAGAATGACGGAGTTCGATATTACAGGATTCCAAAGTTACAGAAATCACCGTCCCAAATAAAAATTAAGAGTGGAGCATCTATGTCTTTATGATGGCTATCGTCGGAAGCCATAAGTGGAGCTACTGTGATTTATACAGCGAATTTTGGGTGGTGTGCACCACCTATCCCATACCTACAACCTGCCGATGGCCCCCTACCCGTAAAGCTCTTCTTCCGCCAATAACTACCCATATTGGCACCCGTGGCGCATCAATGAGTCACCGATGGCCGCCTTTAAAATGAAGTCCTTACAAATTTTCCGTTAGTTTTAAATCCGATGCTTCTGCATTTACTGATAGTGCTTCATTCAATCACCATTCTAAGGGCTACGTAGGCAAATCTACCATGGCAGTACAAATAACAATGCAAACATGTAGCAGGAACAAATGATCTGAGTACCATACGCATACCTCGTGAGAAATCGACGTGAAGAAAGTCCCTGCCTGCAGGATTCGAACTCCGATCTCCCCACGCGAAGCCGACCCTCTACCGTTGAGCTATCGGAGAGGACGAGGAGGAATTTGATGGATTTGAGTTGAAGATTGAAATAATAAAAGAAAAGGCCAACATGAGAGGGATGTTTTAAAATTAAAAAATATATCATCTACATATCGGTTATAGAATATTGGCTTAAAATCAGCATGACAATTGGCCAGCCATGTAGCCTCGTGAAAATACATGAAAATATTAGCAATGGTAGGGCCAAGAGGAAGACCAATACCCAAACCGACAATTTATCTATAAAATTTGCCAGCAAATACAGAAACAGAGTTGAAAACTGATAATTCAAGAAAAGATTCTAAAAAGTTGCGCTTCAAACCTATGACAAGTTCATTGACAATTTAAACAAAGAATTGAGGCATATATATATCAATAGTTTTAGAAATGGGTATGTTGGTAAACAAATTTCCTACATCAAATGAAGCCATAGTCAAACCCTGAACATTATAGAAACTCTTCAAGCGCTCCACAAACATGTAAATATTGTCTGCCGGATATTGGTTGGTGGTAAGACTACTCAAAGTCTGAACCATAAATTTCGCAAGTTTGAAGCTAGGAGTATTGTAAGCAGCAAAATTTGGGCGAAATTGAAATTTCTCAGCGAAATCTGGTTTATGAATTTTGGGCAAACCATACAAAATACCAGGGTAAGAGCCAGAGGCATAAAGTTTGAAGTAAGTTTCAGGTGCCAGTGCCGCGGAATCTTTAAATTTTCGTAGGAAATTATTAATTTTGTCCTCGATCATCAAAATAGTTTTGGCAATTGGATATGTAATTTCGATAAATTTATAAAGGTTCGTGATGAGATCAGAGTGGCTACTATTATAACAATTACGATCAACCAATACTACTCTCGTGCCCTTATCTGGCTTAGAGATGATTAAGTATTTATTTTTTGCTATGTCCTTCAATAAAAGGGTGTCACGGGGCTGGAAAGCAGTTGTGAAGACTTTAAGATTTGAAGCCGTAAAGTTGACAGTAAGCTAAGCTTTGCAAATTTCCAAGATATTCAGGACGATTGGTAATATATGTAATTTATAATTACAATTTATGGTAATCCTTTTTTATGTTAAAAGCTTTTCAAAAGCTGAAAAGAATTTATAGGAGTTCAATTTAAAAACAGGATGACAAAAATCTAGGCCGAAAGCCAGCAAGAATTTGGTCCTAGGTTCCAAATTGCATGAACCATAGTTGAAAACTATTTATCGGGGTTACATGGATGATTGGATGAATTTCATTATGGATACCAAACTTATCAAGTTTCTTCTGATGAGTCTGACTCGTAATTCTCTTGAATGATTCAGTTAGGTGTCTGGCATGTTGACGGATAGTGAAAGCATCACGAGTGGAAAATAGATGATCAATTCGGGCTTCACTTTCAGCGATTAAATCTGTTAAATTTTTGAAAGTAATTTCTTGGAGGATAGTTCCCTGGAAAGGAGCTTCTTCTGCCATGATTTGTAAAAAGATGTGGCATGCAGGCACCGTTTGTGTAGTTTAAACCTAAGAAACTTAGGAAAGACACCGTAGATTTTGGACTTCACCAAAAAGTCTATGTCTAAAGAAGCCTTCACAGCTTTTCGGAGAAAGTCACAGTATTTTCCAAAACAATGGCATCCATCTTCGCCGTATTTTGATCGGATATAAGTATTAAGATCATTTGGCTACTCAAATCGCAAAGTTAACAGGAATTTAAAGCAAAGAAAATATCCAAATAGCCTGCAGCTTTTAGTTCCTATCCTCTACAAATTGTAAATAGATAGTACCTTCTGCTCATGTTATCTCAATTATGTTTGTTTTATTTTCGATTTTTGTTATAATGTCCTCAAGTTTAGGTGAATTGTTTGAATGTGAATTTTAGGTTACTAATTGTTTGTACCTGTGTTCTAGGTTTTAAACTAACAATGGAGCTGGGCTCCGAAATGTTTTCTCTTATAAGAAATGGTGAAATTTTTGGCTATTTTATTTGCTACTAAATTCCTCCTTAGTTGCGTGAGTTGGGCCAAGCTGCCGCACGAATCTTGCTTCGTTAGCAGTTAGAGTTGTACCAAGCTGCCGCTGCACGAACGTCACGTCGTCAGTAGGCAGAGTTGTGTCAAGCTACCGCACGAACGTCACGTCGTTAGTAGGCAGAGTTGTGTCAAGTAACAGCACGAACGTCACGTCGTTAGTAGGTAGAGTTGTGTCAAGTTACCGCACGGACGTCACGTCGTTAGTAGGTAGAGTTGTGTCAAGCTGCCACACGAACGTCACGTCGATAGTAGGTAGAGTTGTGTCAAGTTACCGCACGGACGTCACGTCGTTAGTAGGTNTATGTCTCCTTATGTCTCGCTAAGTCTCCATATGACTCCTTATGTCTCGCTATATCTTGCTATGTCTCCTTATGTCTTGCTATGTCTCCTTATGTCTTGCTATGTCTCCTTATGTCTTGCTATGTCTCCTAATGTTTCGCTATTTCTCCTTATGTCTCCATATGTCTCCTTATGTCTTTCTATGTCTCGCTATGTCTCCTTATGTCTCGCTATGTCTCCTTATGTCGCGCTATGTCTCCTTATGCCTCGCTATGTCTCCTTATGTCTCGCTATGTCTCCTTATGTCTCCATATGTCTCGCTATATCGCCTTACGTCTCGCTATGTCTTGCTATGTCCTCTCACGTTTCGCTATGTCTCCTTATGTCTTGCTATGTCTCCTTACGTCTCCTCATGTCTCGCAATGTCTCCTTATGTCTCGTTATGTCTCCTTATGTCTAGCTATGTCTTCTTATGTCTCGCTTTGTCTCCTTATGTCTCGCTATGGCTTCTTATGTGTGGCTATGTCGGATTACAATAGTCTGTATGAAAGAAACTGTAGGAAGCCGTAAAGTACAAAACGGGCGTACCGTTTTCGTGCGGGAAAACGTTTACGTCGTTTAATTTAACGGTAAATAACCGGCCACTGTAACGCCGGTGGGAACGTTTTTTTTACGGTCGATTTTCTAACAGTGTAATGACGTCAGCTGTACAAAAGAGTTCGTAGTGACGTCAGCTGCACAAAAGAGTCCGTATAGTGGCGTCAGCTTCACGAAGAGTTCGTAGTGGCGTCAGCTCCACAAAAGAGTTCGTAGTGGCGTCAGCTGCACGACCGAGTTCGTAATGGCGTCAGCTGCACGAAGAGTTCGACCTCCCTGCAACACTACCAGCGGCGAGAAGCAAGCAACAGCATCGTGCATCAGGTGGCCCAAATGAGGGCGGATGAACGATAATCAGAGGCGGCTATCCATCGTGGCCTGGGACTGCTATGTCCCAAACAAATACTAAGGATACTAAGTTCGTAATGGCGTCAGCTGCACGAAGAGTTCGTAGTGGCGTCAGCAGCACGAAGAGTTCGTAGTGACGTCAGCTGCACGGTACTCGTAGCAAAGGTGAGTTCACTCATTGTGATCATGATAGTACTTCAGGAAATTCAATAAGTGGATACGCCCCTTTTATGTGAAAATTGGATTAATTTTAATAATGTCAATCGATTTAAATGCATTGAATAAAATTATTTGCAATATATTCATTGATTAAATTGCATTCAAGAATGCCAATTAAAATTCTAGCAATTTATTAACATTAACTTGAGTCATTTTCACGCAATTTGGAAACAGTTGTCCCTGGGATATCATGAAGTTATATGTTAGAGAATTTCTGGATAAATTATTTCGAATATTTGACGTACTTAAATTTCAATAATTTGGCCCTCCGTCTTTCTTATATCACCATGGGTGAAGCGGCTTATGATTCCTCCATGAAACCAAATTCGTACAAAGAATGACGTCTGTCTTCCCGCCAAACCTACGGCGCAATGCCTTGTCCATTGCGAACAGCTTTTCAAGCCAAACCCGCCAATCACAGGCAAGAAATTGGCCTCTGCGTGTATTTAATACCGCCCGGGCTTCTGCTGAAGACTCGCTACACTCGACGTCGCTAAATTTTCCTAACAACATTTGGGGGACATGTTGTTACGGACCCTCACGTTGTTGTTAGGGACCTCCAGCCCTAACAAAAACATTTTCCAGCCTCTGCGGCAGATTCGCCATAGTTGCGTTAGTGTTATTCTGGGTCTGCTTGGCCACCCAATCTTAATCAGCAACTAGTCAGAATCGCCTTGCCGACTTCATAGTCTCCTGAGAGATTGGCAAGAGGTGGCTTGGCCAGGCTTCCCGCGCCTTCAAGCTGCCCAGAGACCACATCAAGCCTCGAGAGGAAGGCAGTGGGCAGAAGCCTCCCAGACGTTCAAGAGCGAGCTTGTCAGTGCCTGCAAAACTACAGTGGCTCGCAAAAGTATTGAATACATTGCAATTTTCTTTTATAATATTCGGTCAGTAAATTGCTAATGGTGCTAGAAACATTATATGGAAAGGATATTA